GACCATATCAAGAGACTTGGAGCGTTGGGCTTCAAGTGGAGAGAGTTTATTGACATCGTCAAACACGTTAGTCTCTAGCATCTGATGGGAAAGATAATAAGAAAATAAAGCAACACGTACAGGTAAGAGAAAAGAGCATAATATGTATCAGAAAAAGTAATAAAATTTGGGGTGATTTCGGAGCCATTTTTTGGGAAAAAACATGGGCTATAGCCTTGGGTATTTTTTAGAATTTTGACGCTTTCTTAAAATGGCTGTAACTTGAAAAATTGAAGTTGGAATCGCCTCAAACTTGCTACACAACATAAGGACATCAATATGTATCAGAAAATGTAATAAAAATTTGGAGTGATTTCAGAGCCATTTTTTGGAAAAAAACCATGGGCTATAGTACAGGGTATTTTTCAGAATTTTGACGTTTTCTTAAAATGGCCATAACTTGAAAAATTAAAGTCGGAATCGCCTCAAACTTGCTACACAGCATAAGGACATCAATATGTATCACAAAATGTAATAAAAATTTGGAGTGATTTCAGAGCCATTTTTTGGAAAAAAACCATGGGCTATAGTACAGGGTATTTTTCAGAATTTTGACGTTTTCTTAAAATGGCCATAACTTGAAAAATTAAAGTCGGAATCGCCTCAAACTTGCTACACAGCATAAGGACATCAATATGTATCACAAAATGTAATAAAAATTTGGGGTGATTTCGGAGCCATTTTTGGAAAAAACCATCGGCTATAGCCTTGGGTATTTTTCAGAATTTTGACGTTTTATCAAAATGGCCGTGACTTTAAAAATTGAAGTCAGAATCAGCTCAAACTTGCTACACAGCATAAGGACATCAATATGTATCAGAAAATGTAATAAAAATTTGGGGTGATTCCAGAGCCATTTTTTGGAAAAAACCATGGGCTATAGCCTTGGGTATTTTTCAGAATTTTGACGTTTTATTAAAATGGCCATAACTTGAAAAATTGAAGTCGGAATTGCCTCAAACTTGCTACACAACATAAGGACATCAATATGTATCACAAAATGTAATAAAAATTTGGGGTGATTTCGGAGCCATTTTTTGGAAAAAATCCATAAATTTTTGCAAAAACCATGGGCTATAAGCCTTTGCTTTTTTGCAAAAATTTAAATGGCAGCCTATTTTTACTGCATGTACATTGTACATGTATTTAGCCCAATTTAAAAAGCTCATACAGTGTATTATTTACTAATACACAGCATTTACTGCTAACCTCTTCTTGCCACGGTTTGGGTACTATTCCGGTTGCAAACTTGTCAGCAAAGTCTTCGTCAGCTTTCTCAATCTCTACTCCTCTGACTGAGGAGAACTGATCAATATCCAACACATCTT